GCTTTACATTCTGACAACTTCATAGTAATTAATGTAAATATGTGCAACTTAGAAAAATGAATGTTCAATAGTCGTTCTAATAAAACAAGCCTGTTTGTAGAAAACATGCGTGTGTTCGTGCAGGTGGGGTGGTGTGGCGGTGGGTGGGGGTGGGGGTGGGGGGGCGCACAAAGGGTTCCTCGCCCGGGGAGTAATTCCATGTAGAACCGCCACTGAATGCACTTGCTGCCTGTCAGACTTTAATGCAACTATATTGCTTCTGGGAGTGAAACCAGAGAGCGGTCCTGCGTTTCCAAGCAAAGCTCAGATGAGCATTTAAGTCTCAGAAGCAAAAATGCTTCATGATGCTGTGATGCAAGCCGACAACTCCCCGCAAATAGACTTAGATAAAAGCAACAGAGGCTTAATCAAAACCATTTCTACCGCGGCTGAGAGTGAATTAATGTTTCATTGTTGCATCGCCACCACTTCATCAGATTCTAAACATTTACTTTTGATGACTTTTACTTTTTAAATTATCATCTACCTGCACTCTCTCCTGTCTTGGGCAAACATCAACATGCAGCTGCAGCCTGTTAAAGTGCTCAGTAAAGAACTGATAAGGGGGTCAAGCCTGAAATATGACGCGGATCGGATGAACACAATGCAGGCGTGGCTGGACATCTCCCTCAGCTAGTTTGTGCTGGGTGATGGTGCAGGAGAGACGCTGCAGGGAAATGCATTATGCAATCTTTCTCTAATCACTCAAATGTGAAGGAGCCCATCCTGCTCCAGAATATGCTGACGTGCACCACAATCCATCCCACAGGCTGTAATGTTGAATGTCACATACCCAACAAACACATCTCCTACCTCTAAGCTACTTCAGCCAGATTCTATTTTTGAATAAAAGACCCCAATTGCACGGACTGCAGGATCATAATTTTCTCTGTTTCAGGGACAAATCACCAGATTCTGGATGGGGTGAGACAAACACCTCCTGAATCCCACTAATCAGACCCCTACTGGGAGTACTGTAGGGAGCTGCATGCACACATCTGTGAAAACCCAACACGATCAGTGAACAAATTTAAAAAAAAGAATATTTTCATCTCTATTTGAAATATACAAATTCAACACTTCTAACAGGCTGATCTCCTGCTAGAGCTCTGACTCCGTCACGCTTTCAAGACACAGCCTTTTAAATTTCCCTCAGTTCAAGGACAAATCAGCAAAGCTGCAGCAAATCTCTGCAGCTGAAGAGAAAGACATAAAAGGGAACGAAAGAGCCAATTGAAGGAGTCCATCCCACGTGTTACACAGAAACTCAACCTTTCCTCTCAGCTATTAGTCTGTGTTGAGTTTCAGGCTCTGTGAAAATGCAGGCTTTACACCATGGGATGAGGCAGATGAAGAACACCTCATGACGTTTCCGAAGGAAGACCACATCTGGAACATTATCTCCACATCTGAAACTACATTTTAAATAACATTTAAAACATATTCAAGAAATTCTGGTGTGCCAATGCAGTCATTTCTTGGAATTTAAATCTCTGCACACAACAAACTTAATTACATAGATTCTGATGGTTTTTTGCAAAATATTTGATTTAATAGCCTAAGTTTTGAAAAACCAGCAGAAAAACATAAGAATAAATGAAGTTAAAGTTAAAGTCCCATTAGTTGTCACACACACTGGTGTGTGTGCGAAATTTGTTCTCCGCATTTGACCCATCCCCTGGGGGAACGGTGAGCTGCAGACACAGCCGCGCTCGGGAACCATTTGGTGGTTTAACCCCCCAATCCAACCCCTTAATGCTGAATGTCAAGCAGGGAGGCATTGGGTCCCATTTTTTCAAAGTCTTTGGTATGACCCGACCAGGGATCGAACTCTGATCTCCCAGACTCAGGGCGGACACTCTACCACTAGGTCACTGAGCTGAACAACAGGTATAAAAGTGTAAAAACAACCAAGATCTAAAGAAAGGTTAATGTTCCCTTTAGTGGCTTTTTAGGGTTACCATGGTAACATCACACCTGTAAGACACACACAGGAGCACCGACTTGTTACCAATAGAAATTGAGCATCCAGTGACACTAAAATTTGTGTCTAAATGTTTTTAAAGGTGTGAGCGCTAGAAAGGGCTGGTGGTCACACAATTACATGTTGTATGGGAGGTATGACTGTAGCCGCTTTCATAAAACAATGCAGGCGGCATCAGGGTGCCTTTGGTCATTCAGAAGTGGTCAGACTATGGCAGGATTATGGTGTGATCATGTGTTTTCACAGATTACATGATGCCGGTACAAAGGGGATGTGTGTGTGTGTGTGTGTGTGGGGGAGGGGGGTTCACGCTGTCACACATTTCCTGTTAGATTGGACAAAACTTGTTTTTTATTGAATCCAGTCCTCGTAAACTGCCTAGTAATCTGAGCTTCAGCTCCTGGAGCTCTGCATCACTCCAGTTTGCTGCCTTAGCTGTTCCTGTTCACAAAAGCAAAACTTACGCCCGTGTTTACTTTCATTTTCAATAGGGTTGCCGGCCGGAGCTAAGTGGACTTTCCACACATGGTCATGATGATACCCTCTGTTGCGCCAAAGCGTGATCTGCCTTCACAAGTCTGACTTTGTGGTAATATTACTACCAAGCTTGGTGGCACAAAAGCCACAAAATTCCCACATCATCATGCCGACATGGCACTTTCATTAGACTCACCATAGTGGCAGTTTTACAGTGATTTGCTCGAATGATGTGTCTTCTGAAAGCGGCTTGTTTGAAAATAGTCTTCACCACCAGATGGGGAGGAGGTAATGAAATGGTTTGTACTCTGCATTTTGGGGGGTTGGGGGAAAACGACGGGTCTTGTAGGAGTTTTAGAAAGAAATGACAAAACAAATCTGTTTTGATGCCTAATTCATGTCTGTATGGAAAAACATTGGAGACAAAAGATTGTTTACAAATGTTTGGAAAGTTTGGACACCTTAAGAAGCCAGAGTGCCTGAGATGTTCTAAAGCATACAAACATCATAATTTTTAATTGAATATTTACTAAAAAAAAAAAAAACAAATAAATATATATGAAAAAGTCAGTTTATAGAAAAAAAGTCCAACTCTGAGGTAAATGTCTGCAGCTAGATTATCACATGACAGAGATGGTGGGCTTTTTTATGAATGTTGTTAGAACTAACTCTCTGGTTGAGCTGTATGCGGTTTTTCCAAAAGCTTAAGAATTAGAGTTGAACCAAAGTCATGACAGATGAACACTGATGTACGACTGGCAAGCCTCAAAGACCTTTAGACATACAAAAAATAAATACAAACACTCACACCATTGATGAATATGAGTGCTTTTGGTAATTATGGTCATTAATGTTCCAGAAACTTGTCACAACCTGAAAAAGCTTGAAAAGTTTTTTTGATGTAAGATAATCTTTGCTCAAACCAGTGCCCAATAATCGGTGTTTCTTTTTTAATTATTGTTGTCATAAGCCTTTAAATAATAGGTACCTTCATCAGTGCTCAACATTTCTCATCATTTCCAAACATGAAGCTCAGTGAAAGGATGCAGCAAAAACAGGTGGGATGGGAGAAATCTAAATCTGGAGTATTTTCAACATCCTGATCTTCCATTTTTACAGTGCTGTGCCCCCACGGTGACAAGGTGTCATCCTATTGCTCCATCACACAAAGACCAATACATCAACCAAAACAATGTAAATATAACAGGAAACATGACCTGATGTGTCAAAATGTTGTTTAATGACACCCAGCTTCAGGGCTTGATGCTGCAGGATCTGAATCGACACGCTCAAAATGTGACATTCTGCTTTTTCAGGAGACAAGGCAGGTAAATCTGACTTTAGTTTTATTGCAGCATTAATCTACTCTTTGTATTTTTAGTCTGATTCCCAGGAGAGCTGAATGAGGAACCTAGTTTACAGTTTGCAGATTAGAGGAACAGAGGACAGCTGCACCATAAAAATAGAGAAGGATGCTTGGATGTGTTTTTATAGATAAGAGAAAGGAGAATAAAGGATAATGTACAAAATGTATACAAAATTATAATGTTGCAAACAGGAACCAAAATACCTTCATGTCACTTACTGATCATATAACAATTACATGATAGTAAATATTGTTTTCAACTTTTCTATAAACAAAGTGTCAGTGCTTTCACTTTCAGTTACAACCTTGACCTCTGGTCTGTATAGATAAACCACAATGCCATCCACAGGGATGAAATAATCTGAGTTTTCAAGTTTCACATGTCACAGCAGCTCTGAAGGCTAATCTATCATGTTGCAGGTCTTCTTCTGGGATTTTATTCTCAGTGCGTGTCGGATCATGTGTCTGTTTCTGCATCAGGAGCATGCTGATGAAGTTCTCAGCCATCCAGGGAGGTCAGGTTGGAGAGAAAGGTATATGGACTGGACAAAAAATATACCTTTTTTTTCTAAGAATTGTGCAGCAGCCAACACCCCCACACACAACTCCATACACGATGATAGGGTGTTTTATTAGGAAAAAGAACAGGAGACACTTATTGTGATTATTATTATTATTATTATTATTATTATTATTATTATTATTATGGGGGTCTTTTTGCTGTTCATTTATTTCTTTATTTTTTCATTTTGACACAATGGGCAGAGATGCCTCTCTCCCTGCGTTTATAGAGCAGCTCGTGTGTTGCGTGACGTGCGGTCCGGAACTCCCTGAGGAATTTCGGGATAAACTAACGCTAGCTTCCACAGATCGATCACATGCACAACCGCACAGACACAATCCAACATAACTGGTGATCTGAAATAAACTTGTAGGTGTTTTTCACTCCCTGGGTAGCGGGTTTTATCAAGCCTTCCCCCTTCCAGATTAGAAGTGAAATGAGTTTGTTTTGTGACAAAAGCGCACAAATGAGTCCGTTTCAGGTGTTAAATGCTGTCAGTATTCCCTGTCGTTCCCATCAGGATGAACAGAAGCGATGAGAAGGATAGGTCTGCGTTCCGGTGCGTGTCTTACCTTGCGTTGCGAGAACCACCAGCAGGAGGACGGCTGTTAGTTTCCCCGAGAAATTCATGTAGACATCAGAGTCTGGCGGTGCTTTTATTCAATGGGTAAAGGTGAGATGCTGAACAACAGATTCCCTTCTCTGAGCTGAGAAACCTGCAGATCAAAGCATGATTTTCAGATGCGCCACCGAGGCGGAGAGGTCGGTGCGCTCTGCCGACTTGGACAACTTCTGCTCGTCCCGCCACCCCCCTACACACACACTCACACACACACACACACACACACACACACACATACACACACACACACACACACACACATGCACTCACGCGCGCGCACACACACCTCAGCCACAGTGACCTGACACAGTGACTCAGATGTGAGACGTTCGGGAATAATGAGATTTCAGGGTTCTGCCAAAATGTGTTTCAGGAGATGCAGATTTGTGTTAATTATTTGTTATTTTAAACTGACTGCCTTGTTAATAGAGCATAACACACACACACGCACACACACACACACACACACACACACGCACGCACGCACACACACACACACACACACACACACACACACACACACACACACACACACCTGCTGTCCAGAACAACTCCCAGTTTCATCACTGAGCCATAATTGACCCGTTTAGTCACTTAATTGATTTTGTAGGCAACCATCATGAAGCAGCACGCGTTGTTCTCTGGGGCTGCAGAGGATGCTCGTTTCAAATACTGGATAGATATTGATGCATTGCAGCTCTGAATGGAGGAGCTCAGGAAGCATTTATGCCCACAGGCTGATATTCACGTAAGATTTTTTTCTATAGAGTCTGTACAATTTTTATTTTGAGAAATTTGACAAAAACTGATCTGTCAGTTAAATAACTTTACAATTTTATACTTAAGCTGCTTTTCCTGTCACTCATGTTGACCAGCTAACAATAACCAACATGAAAGAACGAGGTTTCAGTTTACTGAGAACCTCATACCAAACATGGCCGTACACATCCACACATTCTTTTGTTTTTATGCAGAACAAGATGTTATTTTCTGATTTTGACAAGCTGCATAAACAAGACTATCCCTGAAGCAAACATATGTTAAATAAAATGCTTATTTTCACCATGCTTTAATATTAGATAGTTTGCGAGTTGTTTATTCACACCGGTGAAACAAAAGTCTGACACAATATGTTGCCTTTTTTAAGAGAAACTGATCATTTAATGATGTGTTTATAAATGAAACCATCAACCAAGCAAGAAAAAGTGGAATAACAAGAACAAGTGACTTATAGGAGATCCTGAAGGAGAAAGAAGAGCAACAGTGTAAAAACATGAGATGTGAGGGAGGAGGTGTGATCAGTAAAATGAAACAGATGCAGACATCCTGCACCTCAAATCAGCTGATCATGAGAAAGGAGACAGGGTGGGCTTCAGTGAAACAGAACCAGTGACTCTATCTGCAAGATCTTTTTTATTACATTTGAAATGATGGATGGAAAGCAGCTGATGCAGAATCACACTGAATGTAGATTTCTTTATTTCTTTTTGTTACACTGTCATGTGGTTGAAACATCTGTCATGTTGCCTTTTTTCATTTTTAAGAACCAATTTTATCTTTTTTAACAAGTATTCTTTCTTCAACCGCTTGAGAGCGTTTCCATCTGAGAAAAGCTAAACATGACTTTCTACTGTTTGAGTTTAAAGGGAGAATGGGTTTAATTCAAATGTTTGATCTGCTATTCAACTTGTTTGACAGACAGAAAATTAATTTTAAATATTTAGTCCTCCAACATTTGGAGAGGGCATTTGATCGTGTTCCTCGGGGGCCCTGTGGGGAGTATGGGGTACCAGACCCTCTGATACGGGCTGTTAGGTCCCTGTGTGGCCGGTGTCAGAGCTTGGTCCACATTGCCGGCAGTAAGTCGGGCTCGTTCCCAGAGAGAGGTGGACTCCGCCAAGGCTGCCCTTTGTCACAGATTCTGTTCATAACCTTTATGGACAGGATTTCTAGGTGCAGCCAAGGTGTGGAGGGCATCCGTTTTGGTGGCCTGAGGATCAGGTCTCTGCTTTTTGCAGATGATGTGGTCCTGTTAGCTTCATCAGAACGTGATCTTCAGCTTTTGCTGGTGCAGTTCGCAGCCGAGTGTGAAGCAGCTGGGATGAGAATCAGCTCCTCTAAATCTGAGACCATGGTCTTGATTCGGAAAAGGGTAGAATGCCTTCTCCGGGTCAGGGATGAGGTCCTGCCCCAAGTGGTGGAGTTTAAGTATCTCGGGGTCTTGTTCACGAGTGAGGGAAAACTGGAGCGTGAGATCGATAGGTGGATTGGTGCTGCATCTGCAGTGATGCTGAGTCAGAAGGCAAAGCTCTCGATTTACCGGTTGATCTACGTTCCTACCCTCACCTATAGTCATGAGCTTTGGGTAGTGACTGAAAGAACAAGATCGCGGATACAAGCGGCTGAAATGAGTTTTCTCCACAGAGTGGCTGGGCTCTCCCTTAGAGATAGGGTGAGAAGCTCTGTCATTCGGGAGGGGCTCGGAGTAGACCCGCTGCTCCTCCACATCAAGAGGAGCCAGTTGAGGTGGCTCGGACATCTGGTCAGGATACCTTCTGGACGCCTCCCTAGTGAGGATTTCAGCATGTCCAACCGGGAGGAGACCTAAAGGTAGACCCAGGACACGGTGGAGGGACTATGTCTCTCATCTGGCCAGGGAACGCCTTGGGATTCCCCCGGAGGAGCTGGACCAAGTGGCTGGGGAGAGGGAAGTCTGGGCCTCTCTCCTTAGGCTACTGCCCCTGCGACCCGACTGGTCCTCCAACATTTTTGCTAAGGGTGAAACATGTTGGATTTGCAGCTGTTTTTGTCTCCCCTTGATTTTAGTCATAATTCAAGAAAGGAAGTAAAATTAAATTGTGAATAAACAAATGTAATAAAAACAAATGTCTGTACTTTGTGTTCTCATCATGTTCAGAGCTCACAGAGCACTTGTTTTCTTGTCAGTCAGAATTAAAATTCTGCTTCAATTTGATCCTTGTGTTTGGATGACATCCTGATCAATTTAACTTGATCAGTTTATAAAAGTCAATGAAATGTCCAAATCCGAGTCTTACTCCACTCCCACTTTGAAAAATGAAACAAACGCTGTTGCCAGGCAGACCAAGAGGGCGGAGCCGCTAACACACACACACAAACACACACGCACAGGCTCACAACAACGTTGTGGCATCATAATGAACCAGCTAACATCATAGTGTACCTCTTAGCCAATAGCAATGGCAGATTTAAATTCTAATGCAGTGTAGAGTTTTTACCTGAAGAGGGCGCAACACTGACAGTTTTAGGCAGAATATTAAAATTGTTAATAAAATGCACTGAAGTGCCAAATTATTGACTACACGTGTCTACAGCATGATTAGACACTCATTGGTTTGGGGGTGACTTGCTCTTTAAATCTTTGCAATAGTTGATGATGATGTTCATTAACTGCTGCACAGCACTGAGATAGTACATACATTATTTAATGTTGTCACTTTTTTATGATGTGCCAAATGATTGTTAAAAGTGTGTTTATATTTTAATTAAAAATTGAGATACAGTTATTATGAAGGCTTATAAAAATATAAAAAAATCTGTTGTCTCTTTCTGGGTGTGCGTTAGACTTTAAGGATTTTCCTTTGGGCAGCATGTGGCCCAGGTTTTACCATCCAGTCACTTTTTTTTTTTTTTTTTTTTTTTTTACTGTGTCCTGTCTGGCTGTGAAGCAAGCAGAATTGATGTCTGAATGCTGGTAACAAGCCTTACAGATTTATTCTCAGGTGGAGCATCAAAGCGTCTGCTTTAAATGTCACGCCTGATACTTGAAATTTTATTGTTATTGTTTTTGAATGCTTTGTAATTCCGACCAGACAGGGAGACAGAGGTGAAAGAGAAAGGGAAAGACAAATGGTGGGAAGGGGGGGGGGGGGGGGGGGGGGGGGGGGTCCACAAAAATAAACAATAATGAACAAGAGTCTGCTTCTAGACCTGCAGAAAGAGAAGAGCAGAAAAAAATGGGACACACAACAATACATCAGGAGCAAGCTAACACTGCGTCAACGTGATGATGAAATATAAAATCAACATTGTTTAACCGAACAATCACACGATAATAAATCATAGTGCATTTAGTGGCAACGACAGCCTTGAGACATGTGTTGAACGTGCCCAAGCCCATACTTTTGAGAGCACCATGTGAGCACCTGTGTGTGTACATGCACTTGTTTATGTAAGGTTTCTCTATAGGAGCGTCCAACAGAGAGTGTGAGGGACCACAGATCTGCCCCTAAAGATGCGTAGGAGACGGGGGAGCTCCAAGTCCCAGAGATCCAGGCGCTGCCCCAGAACACAGGAACCCCAAGGGGTCTGCAAGCAGAAAGGCCCCCCGCCCCCCTCGAGAGGCGCAGAGGATCGCCCCGGGGGGCCACAACCAGCAGCCGGCAGAGTCCCGGGAGATATCAGCGGCAAGCCCATAGGCCCGCCCGCCGCCTCCCACCCCCTAGCCGGCCGAGCCCGGGACCCAGGGGCGACCACCCCCCGCCGGGGACCCAGCAGAGCCCAGGGACCCAGACCCCACCAGGCAGCCACCGGGATTGACCGGGCAGGCGCCAAAGATCTTAAACCTCCTGACCCGGGAGCCACGAACACCCAGGCAGACCATCCAGTCACTTCTACAGAGTTTTTTTTTTTTCACACCTTATAGCTTCATATTTTGAAAACACCATGAAACTTTACACGTTTGTTTCATCCTCACAGCTGCTTTCAGCATCACGAGAGAAATGTTAATCCACCTGCAACATGTGATGGTTTCTGCTCATTTGTATGCAGGTTATTTTAAAGACATTGACACGTGCCGAGGTTGATGGGAAACGCTGCTTTTAGTGCAGGAAATTCTTTCCTAATTGTAATGTTTTTACAGTGATTCCAGCCATTTTCAGTTGGTACGATATAAAGGATGTCTGCAATAAAACCTACCCAAGGTTCGATTATTAGACAGACACTGCAGCAGAAAATGAAAATCGTTTTTTACCTTTATGAGACCAGCTGCGGACTGAAACCAGCTTTAACATTATTTACTTTGCTTTCAAAATCACCAGTGAACACAATTGTTCTGCAAAAAACATTTTAAATAAAAACAGTTTTTTTTCATTGACTAATTGAGTAAACCACAACATTTACTCACTACATTGCACAAAACCTAGCTAACAATAAAGCATCAGTGATATTTA